CGTTCATTCGGGGTCTGAGATCTCAGGGACCTGAGAGTGCCGTCAAAACCCTATTAAGTGGGATCCATTTCCGCCTGATTCCTATTTGAAAGGTAGACAGATGTAACTGACCAGCTGGCAATTGTCCAAGCCAAGACTTCTAGTACGCGTGATTGTGTGTTCGATTGTTTATAGTGACCCGAGCCGACCTCCTCGATTATTCTACCACTCGGCAGTGATTTTTCCGACTAGGAGCGAGCTTTGGCGCAATGGCCAACTTCTCGTGAGTCGGCGTTTAACGCGCGTCGTGTGCATATTACAATTGCTCTGAAAAGCACATTGAGAGGGGTCCATTGCAGCTTGATCCGTAGTTCTGAGTATTACGGAATTAAGTCTAATCCAGGACTTTTACCACATACTGATGGCTTTAAACCTGTCGGATTCTCTATGGTGAGAAATTCGCCTAAATGTCATGATTAAGGGTGCGCGCCTGGTAGACTTTCGACCAGTGACCTTTCCGCACCTCTCGGCTGACCGGTAAACAGATTTGACTTGGAGGTTGGTGCTGCGCAAGCCTCCTTCTAATGCGTGTCGTATGCCAATAGTTGAGAGTTCACACAGGCTCCGCACAGTCCGACTGACACTGTCCATCGACCATTGGGACCCCAGTTTGGTTAAATCGAACGGCGTTACAGTCGGGCGTGAGAGATTACTCCTGTGCAATATGTAGCTGACCGCAGACATGCCAGAATGACGCAACTGTCCGACTACGACGCACTAACACGCCACCCCGGTGACACACTTTTGACTGTGGCCCGTGCGCGCTTGTTTTCATTGTCAGCCAAACTCGCCTATCCCCTCCTTCTGCTTGTCACACACTTTGCCTGCAGTCTCGAACACTTTGGAATGCCATGAGAGGAATTACTCCTAGGTTCTACGTTGTTGCGTCATTTAGTAAATTAGTTTAACGGTTTTAGTGTCTTGGGGAAAAATGAGTCGTCAGCGCTTCGCTGCTCGCGTTTGCCGGGAGTCCAGTGTCCGGCCAACCACTATGTCTCATTTGCGGTCGTTTTGACTGACTCATGCCACGAGGGGTAGGTGCGAAAGTGTGAGACCGCTGTGCCGAAAGTCTGTCTCGGGACCACAAAGAAGGACGGAGCTGCCTGTGTATGGTCTCTCGAAGCCCGTTTGTTTACACGAGGTGCCTTCGGAGTGAATTTCGGAGGTTATAACGTCGCATGACGATGTCTACTTGTGCCTTAAAAAGTACTAATTGATTGATGCTGACTCCTCTGAGTAGGTTGAAGTAATTGAGGCTTTTAACCTTTTGTGTAGACCCTGGGGTGCATATGATTTGGTTGGGACGGCATTGATGGTTGTTTGTAAGTGTTTACATCTCCGCTTTCCCAGGAGTTCAATCCTTCTTTCACCGGAATTTTCAGGTCATTTTATGGAAAAAAATGTTCTTTTACGGAGACCTGAAAGAAAGAAAACGAGGACGTCATTAAAGCTATTCTTTAAGTTTTGTGATTTTTAAGTTCATGGACCAGCGCATCCTCAATTTTCAACATCGCGCATAGGGAATCCGCACGTCTGTGAAGTAATCTTATCTAGACGCTCTTACGCTACTCACCCGCTTGACACCGTTAGGTTTGGAGTAGGTGACTGCCTGTTAGTTGAAGAATAGAACAAGACGGAGGGGGAGGAGGATGAATTTCTCCTCCAGCTAGGTATGCAAGTTTTTCTGAAAATGCTTTTACTGCAGACTGGTCTAATTTCATGGAGTAGTCGAATACAGGGCTTTTGAATTTCTGTATGTGTGCTGTTAAAATGCTTTTAGGCTACTGCTAAGCTCTCGTTTAAGGCGCTTGAAGATATGTGATGTAGCTGCTGTTCGATATGTTGCGAAAGGAAAATTTTACGTTGCTGTGTTGAGATGAGGCGACTGTTTACATTTTATTTTTTACTTAACTTCATTACCCAAACCCCCAGTTTCATGAAATATCCGCCAGGGGGACAGTCGTGTCCCTGGGCGCTGTCTGATCGTATTTCTTCCAAAATCGCATAATCTCCTGCTTGGTTAATTCCTTTCCGGTCCTTTATCATGCAACTGTGGGTTTGCTTTTATTCTAGTTCTCTTGCTAATTGGCCAATCCACGTTCTACCTAATTTCGCTAATGGACCTTCGTCCTGCAAGTCTGTGTTAGCGAAGACGGCAGCTTGTTTTGTGACGCTTCGACGTCCAGTTTATGTCTAAATTTATCCACCTGAATTTCACATAATTTTTCCTGACAAACTGGAACTTGTTCATCACTTGACTTGGGTTTCAAGGTATGGATTTCACCTGGAAAAAATTGAGTTTAACACTGAACCTCAATGAAATATTCACCTTGTATGTGCATTTTGTGATATGTACTGTTATTTTTTATATTGAAAATCGCAATTTGATAAAGAAATAGTAATGCCTAATCTTGAAAACCCACTTATCATAACCGAACTGAGGATCATATCCAGAAATAATAAGGCACGCGTTTTTACCAACCTCTTGTGCCTACTTGGTACAGCTATAAAGGCCTTGATTACTGACGATTTATAAGACTCCTATATCATACTGGCCGACGCTTTGTACTACCGCCTTTTGTGGCGGAGGCTCTTTTTATGTTAACGATTTAAAAAATCGTTCGCTAAGGCTGCGCTACCTCATGATATGTTAACCGAACTTTAAAATATGTTTACGATCTAACTTAAACAGGATTTTAATGTTACTTATCATAGAACATAATCTCAAGATATTTCAGTCAGTTCATGATGCCAGCTTTCAAACGAGCTTTCTTCCCACCGCCTGCATAAACGACAATTCGAAAATGACTATTTAAGTAGCAAGATTATTTCCCATTGAACTTCGATGCCTTCATATTTTTAAATATATTTTCTAGAAAACATCCACGAAATCATTCTTCCACATACTTTTGTGGTAGTACTCTACGCCTGGCTTACTTTTTTTATTTGAAGCAAGGATATCTTTCGCTGTTAAAACACTTTCAGTTCCTAACTAATCTCGATCCCGACTTACTTTTGCACTTGCATTCATCATTCTCAAACTACAAGCCGTATTCTTTCCGTGTAACGAAAACCACACACTTCTATATGCTACTGTGAGGATGTCATATAGGGCCCCTAACATTTCGTAGTTTACATGGACCATGTTGTAAAATTTAGCCGCGGCATTAAAAAATAGAAAGAGGCTTTATGAACGGACATTTCACAGTCTTAAAAACTTTTTAAAAATGGAAAAATATTCTTTCATTCATAAATTTTGACAACGACGTCACTACCAAATAAGTACAAGAAGGGATGCTTTTTGTGCACGTTTTCTATAAAATATATTTGAATCTTTAAGAGCATTGAAAATAAACGGCAAAATGCATATTAGTTATGGAGCCATTTTTATCGCGTGGGTCTTTAGCACGTGGCCAGAAAAAAAAACATTGAAGAGCCGGTATCCTGACGTATTGTGACATTACGTCGTATCATAATTAATACCATAAGTGATTTATTATACTCCCTTTGAACCAGTTGTGTAAAACTCGATCGCCTCGGTGGGATCCGAACCCACACCAGCGACGGAAAGGTTTTTTGTACAATCAACACTCTAGCTAGCTGAGTTATGAGACCGCCGAGTTTTTGACAATTGGGTCAAGTGACTTATTCAAATCTTCCAACACTCCTTACTAGTTAACTGCGTCTGGTAGTCATCTAGTGGATTCTAGATTGATTGTTTAGGAAATCCTGCTTGGGCAGTCACCTTATAGCCGGTGGACTCCGTACGTTGCAATAGTCTGGGCGGGTAAATTATCCTAAGTCTGATTAAACTCACGGTGGGGGCCTCCTAGCTCAGTTAGCTAGAGCGTTGTTCGTACTTTCCCTTTACCGGCGTGGGCTGGAATCCCAACGAGGCCGCCGAGTTTTCCACAATTTAGTCAAATGGCGTTATTCACATCTGCCAAACCCCCTGTATTAATAAACGCTATTTTTGCTGCTCTCGAAGAGAAAATGTGATTCTTCCTGTCCGTCACCGCCGATCCTGTGACCTTAATAAACTCCGTCGTCAATATTCTCTGGTAGGGCTGATAATGAATTACCCTGGAAGAACGCGTCCATTGAGATGGTAAACTTCAATCCTCAACAAAGTTCTGTCAGTGTCTAACAAGGCCAATAAAGAAAAAGAGAGATGGTGCAAAAATAATAAATAAAAACGAAGGAACGACTGGAACATTTGAGAAGCACATGTTTACTCTAATACCGAAGGCTCTAACCGTTTTAAGAGAACCGCGAGAGGGAGGCCATTTGAAAAACATATTGGACACATCTTCCTTCGCCCGCCTCGTGGGGTTAGTTCGTCTAATAAGTCGACGGTTTCGCTCTCTTTGGGCTGAACACTGAATCGTCCAAAAATCATTAGAAGACGCATTCCATACACCTAAACCCTCTATTAACAAAATTTGCCTGGTAGTCATTTAGTGGACTCTAGACTGGTTGTTTAGGAAATCCCGCTTGGGCAATCAGCTTGCTGTATCTGAATTTGTGGAGGCCACAGATTGCAGTAGGCTGGGCGGGTAAATTGATCCAAGGATGATTAAATTTACGGCTCCCGGCGGGGGCCTCATAGCTCACTTGGCTGGAGTGCCGGCTATGCTGCAGTCTTTCTCTTGCTTGCGTGGATTCGAATTCCACCAAAGCCGTCAAGTTTTTCACTATTGGGTCACATGAACTATTCAACTTTGTTAACACTCCTTTCTGATCTCTTCTACTCGGTAACGCGAGTTTTAGGCTTTCGCGAACTAGCATATTTGCTATATTTTACTTTTAACAGAAATTGATTTTACTCCGCAATCTACAAAG